GGGGGGACTTCTTGGCAGGTTTAACATAAGTCACTCTTCAACCAAGTTCTTTTCTCCCCTCCCTCCTTTTAAGTGAAAACATTTAGTCTGCTAAAATTAAATCCATTTTGACTCACACAAAAAAAATGCCTGCAAACCTAAAACAGCCCTGTTCTGGGAAGCACGATGCAACGGTATCAACGTTCTAATCTGAAGTCTGTCACTCCCAGTTCCACTGGAATTACTTTGGTGTGGCGAGACTTGAACGATGTGCTAACGCAACTCATTCAGAGACTAATATGCTGACGGCAGGCATCAGTCAGATAGACGGTAACCATAATTTATTGTTGCCTCTGACTAACAGTTTTCTTTTACTCCAGTGTGTAAAAAGGGTTACTTTTCTACAGATTTTTTTTCCCTTTCCTCTTTTTTTTTTGGGGGGGGGCATAATTTAAAGAACCACATTTCTTTTCTACAGTGTTAAGACTCTTCCTCAGATGACATAACTTTGTATTATTCCAATGGAGCTATGAACACTGTGGCACAATTTTCAGTATTTTTTCATTAAAACAAAATAAATCTTTGTGGTATCACACTGAGCAGTGCTTGTGAAAGTTCTTCAGGGTAAGGTGACCAAAAAGATTGGGGAAATATGGGGAATATAAATCTCAATTGCAAAAAAGTTAAAAATTTATATTATATTCCACACTGAGAGCCAGTTTGGTGTCGTGGTTAAGAGCAGCGGACTCTAATCTGGAGAACCGGGTTTGATTTCCCCACTCCTCCACATGCCAAAAGCTGGGTGACCTTGGGTCAGTCACAGCTCTCTCAGCCCTACCTACCTTACAGGGTGTCTGTTGTGGGGAGAGGAAGTGAAGGAGATTGTAAGCTGCTCTGAGACTCTGAGTGAAGGGTGGGGTATAAATCCAACTCTTCTTCAAGATGGGTAGCTGTATTTGTCTGTAGCAGTAGAGCAGTAGAAAGGAGCCAGAGTCCAGTAGCACCTTAAAGACTAACAAAATATGTGATGGGGAGGAGCTTTCGGGAGTCACGCCTCACTTCCTCAGATACATCTAGAATGGGAGTCCATCTGCTGCTGAATTGCAACTGATAAAGCTCAAGGCAGTGCATCCCCCTGGATTGAATCAAGATCTAGGTTTCCTGTCTCATGACCAATGCTGATTTCTCCATGTCTATTACCCCTCTTAATAGCTCACCTAAATCCAATCACACCTGCTATTATCATTCGCCTGCTGTTGTCATTCGGCATTAAAATCACTCCGCTTTCCAGTAACTAGGACAGATGGGACTCCCTTTCTAGCTGTGTCTGAAGAAGTGAGCAGAGGCTCACGAAAGCTTTTACCCTGCTACATATTTTGTTAGTAGCCGCCCCAAGCTGAATATTGGATGGGGCGGGATATAAATCCCAAAATAAATAAATAAAAAAATTTAAATATTTAAGGCACTACTGGACTCTTGCTGTTTTCTTTCTTCATTAAACTTTAATCAGATTGTAAATATTTAAAACTTTGTATCACACATCAGTTTTTGGTTACGTATATATGTACCTTCCCCTAGTAGTGTAACAAACTTTTTATAGTAAAATTGCCCTTGTACACATGGGGTTGAATCCCCCCCCCCTTCTGTTTTCTCAGTTTTTCAAGGTAAGCCATGTCACCTGTTTTGGTTTTCTAAAGACGTTCACTTGAGAGCACAAAGAATACAAATATCCATGTTGAAGTTATTACAGATAGAGAACATGAAATCACCTTGTACTGAATCAGACCCTCGGTCCATCAGTCAGTATTGTCTACTCCAGGGGTGTCAAACATGCAGCCTGGGGGCCAGATTAGGCCCCGGAGGGCTTCCATCAGGCCCACAGTGGAACTGGCCATCTCCTGCTTCCAGTTCTGCTGCTGCATCATAGCTCGCTTCGCCAGACTCTCCTAATCACTCAGCCATTTCATGTTTTCCCCTGGGTCCTAGACTCAGAACTCTCTGAGCATGAGATTTCTGTGATGAATGTCAATTAATCAAATGTAGGTTTGCAGCTTACAGGGCTGATGTTTTAAGCATGTTTTATTTTAACTAAAAAACACCTTTGTTGTGTTTGTGTCCTTTATAAAGTTTATATCTCCGCTACCTGGCATTCCACTATATGACAAACATGGCCTGGCCCTACAAGGTCTCATTTATGTCAGATCCGGCCCTCATAACAAATGAGTTCGACACCCCTTGTCTACTCAGACTGGCAGCAGCTGTCCAGGGTCTCTGGCCAAGAGGTCTTTCCCATCACCTCCTGCCAGATCTTTTAAATTGGAGAAGCCGGGGATTGAACCTGGGGCCTTCTGCATGACAAGCAGAGGCTCTGCCACTGAGCCACGGCCCCTCCCAGAACAAAAGGGAGAAAGGAATCTGCATTTCCTTCAATGATCACAGACGTTCATCATGCGCGTGTGCGTGTCTTATGTTGGGCAATTTAATTTTTGCTTTAATACGATAGTAACCAGAATCCAGAGAAGAGGCATCCATGTGCGCAGCAAGAGGCGTGCTTGCAACTCTGCGCTGCCACAGAAAGGGCCTGTTTTTTAAATGGGTGAGCAGCTCATCTGTTTTTTTGGCTGGAACTTCAGTCTCCAAAATAAACCTCCATCTAGATTCCAGAGGTCTTTCCTTCTTGGGGCCCATGGTAGTTGCAGAGTCCATATTGTTAGTATCACAGAGTCCTGTATAAGTGAGCTGGAGTCACCTTTCTGCCTGTGTATATTCAAGCAACTCAAATCATGAATAAAAATCCAAGCAAAGCCAGCAAATTAGACCAATTAAAACTCAAAATAGGGAGGAGAAACCTGTATACTGTTCTGTGTAGGTTCCCGGAAAGCCACAAAAACACATAAGCATAAACCAGAAGCAGTGAAATACATTAAGATCCCTCCTTATTGACAATGACTATATGGAAGATGCCGTATAGTGAATCAGACCATCGGTCCCATCCTAACATAACTGAATTGGAAGGGGCCATCTAGTCCAACCCCCTGCTCAGTGCAGGATCAGCCTAGCCCAGAGGTGGCCAAATTTGTTCAACGTGAGAGCCACATAGAATAAATGTCAGATGTTTGAGAGCCACAAAGCATCAACAAATATTACACACACATTTTTATTTAAAAGTATGCAAATTTGCTTTTTTAAATGAACATTAAATGAGACTGCCAAAAATAAAAACAAAAGGGGTAAAAACAGATATTTGATAGTGATATTTGTTCGAAAATGATATTTATTTGTCTAAGAGAGAGAGAAAAAGAGAGAGGTGGAAAGAAAGAATGAAAGAGGTGGAGAGAGAGAGAGGGGAATTTCAGACAGATGATATAATTCGGAAGAGGAACGGTTCCCAAACGGTTTCTGGTCTGTCATTTCAGATAGAACCGTTTTAGAACCGGTTCCCTACCAGAATATATTTGTAATTTCAGACACAAATGCTTCTGTCCCGTTTAGGAAACGGGGCTGAAGCGTTTTACCTGTCAACCGCTTCCAAGTAGCCTTCAGTTTCCTCTCCCGGTTCCGATGCATTTTTTCCCACCCTTTTTCACCCGCGTGGGTGATCTCCAGCTTTTTTTTTTACGTTCGCTTTTATAGTGCTATAATGGAACAGCAGTATATCAATGCCATTGGGATGTCTGGAGTGTTTTGTTATAGTGCTATAGCGCTATAAAGCGAACATTCAAAAAAAAAAAGCCGGAGATCGCCCGCGCGGGTGAAAAACGGCAGGGGAAAAGTGGGGAAAAGCGGTGCAGTCTGAAATGGCAAACTGCTTCAGATCCAGCTCTTTACCGGAAGGGGAAAGCCATGTGTGAAATGGCAGCCCTATAGCGGTTTACTCCATGACGGATCAAAAACAGCTTCAAAACGGGTTAAAAAGGATAATGTGAAATTCCTCAGTGTTTCACCACTACCACTAATGTTCTTTTTGCAGGTAAATATTACAAGAACACTTGACCTCTCACCCTCTATTCTGTTGTAGTCAGGCCTCACCTGGAGTCCTGTGTCCAGTTTTGGGCACCACATTTTAGGAAGGATGTTGACAAGCTTGAGCATGTCCAGAAGAGGGCAACCAGGATGGTGAGAGGGATTGAATCCAAGTATGAGGAAAGGCTGAAAGAGTTGGGTACATTTAGCCTGGGAAAGAGAAGGCTTAGAGGGGACGTGATTGCAGTCTTCAAATATTTGAAGGGCTGTCATGTAGAAGATGGAGCGGATCTATTCTCTCTTGCTCTGGATTGCAAGACTAGATCTAATGGGTGGAAATTACAAGGGAGTCGTTACTGGCTAAATATCAGGAGAAACTTCCTAACTGTAAGAGTGGTTGAGCAGTGGAACAGTCCGCCGCGGGAGGTGGTGGATGCTCCTTCGCTGGACGTCAAACGGAGGCTGGACGACCATCTTTCAGGTATGTTGTAGGACTATATTTCCTGCGGAGTGCAGGGGGTTGGACTAGATGATCTGCAAGGTCCCTTCCAACTCTAACATTGTATGATTCTATGAGAGAGAGAGAGAAACAAAGCAAATAGACGGGAGGGAGGGAGAAAAAGTATGCTTCCCCTTTGCTTCCCCATCCGCCCTGCCGGGAGCAGCACAATATGTGTGAAAGAGCCACATGTGGCTCCTGAGCCACAGTTTGGCCACCCCTGGCCT